GAAGGTCATCTCCTCTGAACCATATCAACAATCCAGAATACAATCTAAGAGAAGGGTCATAGAATCAATATAACCACAATAAAAAAAAATCCTATAATATGACTAAATAAAACAAAATTCAAGCATCTTTATCCTTTGTAAAGTACTTGAAAACTAGATAAAATTCAAACAAAATATTCCATAACTAAAAATCAAAACATATGTCAACATCACAAAATTTATTACAACGTTGTACTATAAGTCAAAGTGCATCCTGAAAATCCACCCAGAAAGCACTTTCAAGTTTCTCTATTTCCACCAAATCCTACCAAAAGTGCACTGACAAACAGGCCTTAATTAAACAATCATAACTTATTTTAAGCCAACAGACTTATTTAGAAGTCCATAATAATCACCCATTAAACTAATGACTTATTAGCCTATATCAACGACAAATTCTATCATGAAACTTTCTAACTCTAGGTTGATATCCTTAGCCACCATTTTATAATGGGACTAAACCATTGAGATTAAATAGGAAGACTCCATAGTGTAGTTTAAATAGTTTTCACCAATACTCTGTAGGTTACATTGAGAGGCCTACGATGATTCTACCAAGATTGTAAGTATAAGTATCTGCTATTAATTGAAGACAAGGAAATAATAAAACAAAATAACATACAAAGCAATAAAAAGATCATCAGTTGTCACCTCAACAATAACAAGAAATGACAACAGCAAAGGAGAGAGATGGTACGCTATTTCCAAGTGAAACCTTGGTAGGGAAATTCCTTTGTTCGATTTTATTCTCCTTACTCCTCTCTCCCCTTAATAAAAGAAACATGAAGTTGTTATCGAACAGACTTTCAATCTAGACTCCATGAACTGAAAACATAATAAAATGGGGCAAGCTACAAAGTGGGTTTTCGGCAATGAAGTATGATGCATCTCTAAGAAAGTATGCTTCTTCTTTTTTCTTTAACACCCAACACAACTCTTGGGGTTGTGTCTTCAAAAAATAATCCCCTATGTATTAACACGTGTGTGGGTCACCTTATCAACCTAGTGAGGTTAAGGACAAAGCATGAAATTGTATTCACATAGCCTTCCTACCACTGTTACAAATCATGTATATCCATAAGAGTTCTTACAATAACTTGTTATTTATACCCCAAGACCTAACACAGAATACAACCTTGGGAGGCAATACACAACTTCCTGAGCCTTAAAATGCAAATTTATCATGACAAACACTAGTAGTGGATGTGCATACAATGCCAAAATATTTTATTCACATTCAAATGAAAATGAATTTGAAGCTGCAATCAAGTAAGTATATCATTCCGAAGATTGTGGTTATTTTGTTACTGCTATACAAAGAAAGGTTTTTCTTTTTTGAGTTATCAAAGGATGGCTGGCTGAAACCATGTTCCTGATTTTGGGTTGTGGAAAACCTATCATCTTTTCCAGGCTTGATAGTCAAGGAGTTTCACTGTCAAAAATCGGATTCAATTGTGCATAGGATGCAATTCCTATGCCTTTTAAACTTGACACTCCTTATATGTTCATTGTATTAGTTCTTTTGTCAAAATAAAATACATAATTATTGGAACAGTTTGGGAGAAAATTCCAATTAAAATAGTATTTCAAGGTTACGAATGAAAACAGAAAGAACTAACAGACATGAATGAAAGAATTCCTCACCTTCTCTTTCTTGAGCTTTATGTTCTTCTCTTCTAGACGCGAAACTTTGCTCACCAACTCATTATGATATGCCTGAATGGAACCACATGGATCACGTGGCAAATAGATAAAGCAAAAACCAACATAATTCATACCAAAAAGTAAACAAAAGCACACACTAAATTGTACCTGCTTTCTAGCACGTGAACGTGCAGCAGATTCTCTGTTCTTGATTTTTCTCCTTAATCTTCTCTCAATAGTCTTCTCATATGCATCTGATGCATCCCTTTTCCGCCCTGGCGTTGTTGTATCCGACTGTGTACCAAATGATGGGGATGACAATAACCCCAGGTTATGTGGATAGCTCTGAGGGACGGCCACTTCAATAGTATCCAATGCAATAGCAGGACTCAAAGAACCTTCTGCAAAAAGACCTGCTTGTACCAAGAAGTCTTCTAGAGTTGTTTCACCAAGTGTTATCTCAGTATCCTGAAATTTCATGTCCTCCCCATACCTTTTCTTCTGCCCTTGCTGGATCTCTCTCCATACCTCATCAACCGTCTTCCCACTTAAACCTCTAGCCAATGTTAAGCTGGCCTGACGTTGGAGTGAAGATACTGAGGAGGTGTTCTCAATATCCATCTCGATGGATTGATTTGCTTCAGTAGTCCATATGTTCTGTAGAAGCTCGTCAAGATTCATGCTGCCCAGTGGCTTTCCCGTGTCTCCTAATTGATTTTTAACTTCATCAAGAGTGAGGCTATACCATGAGGGCTGCCTCAACAATGGAGACGGCTGAAAATGAGACTGCTGGCCGTTAGCTTGAGAAGCCATAGTCTGAAACCCCATTCACCAAGCTTTCGCTGCCCACCCAACAGGTCTGTCAACTGCAAAGAAAAAGGCAATAGCTGCAAACCATTAGAGTACAATTTTGCTTAAAGTGAATTGTTTTCAGCTTTAATTTACCATTGGGAAAGAGAAAAAAAAAATATGAAGAAACATAGAATCATTTCCATAGTGCTTATTGCTTTGCATAAATAATTTTATGAGTCTAATACTCCATTTGGGTTGCGAGAAATCTCAAGGGAAATAATGTCCATTTTTTTCATTCAGATTCTAATATTATCAACAAAAAGGATTTAAATGACATAGACCAACGCCACACAACTCCCATGCATTGCTAGAGTGAACCCAAAACAAGGAACAAGAATTCCACTCAGAAATCATTTTCTTCCCATCAAAAGCATGCGCTGGGATTTGCATTAAATTAATCAACAACCAATTTGGCAAACCAAGAGAAACAAGAAACAATCAATTGATTAATTAATTAGATGACCATGCAAAATATATGATCCACTGTCACTGTTTCAAATGAGAGTCTTTGATTTATTGACATAAGCAAAATCAACAGAGAGAAGAGTATCAACGACGCGTACCTGTGCGAATAGGAATAATTGGGAATTATTTAGGAGGATCTGATCGGAATCCAAAGAAATAAAAGATAAAAAGGAAAATGACAAAGAAGAAGAAAGGAAAGGCCTTTTTGCTCATTTGGGAGTTACATCAAGAACCCACGGACGTCTCGCTGCTTCCTATGAAACAAATAAAAATTCGAAGACGAAAAAACCCACTCACTCTGAAGCGCAAGGGAAACCCAACTGATGTGGTAAACCTCGTACCAAATGAAGACATACACTCGTTTCCTTTTCTTTTGTCATTTTATTTTGGGTCAATTTTAGCTAGAGCCGGTCAGGTTTGACTTCATTGCAATGACAACCCCACTGGTTTCATTAACTACACATACATACATCCCACATTTCAACACAGGTGTCGTTAAACGAATGCTAAAGTTAACTGAGCGCATTTTATGATCTAATAATTAAATGAAAATATAAAATTAACTAAGTACACCCTACTTAACCATAAAAAATACTCCTAATACACTATATCACATAACACCCTAATACTAAGTACACCCTGTTTTGCAAGAATTGGTCGTCTTCATCAAATCTATTCCTGTCAACTCCTTTTTCCTTCATCAAATATAAACCCTCAGGGATTCACCCACTCATTGAACCACATTCATGAGTACTTGGGAAGGTTGGATCATTATTTGATCAAGGAACTTAAAGCCCGACGTTCTCTATTGGTTCGACGTCTGCTGTATGATGGCTTTTTTTCTTTAATGGTTTGTTGTTGATCAGTGGAGTTTGTTTTTAATTGATGTTGTTTTCGTTTGTAGTCTTCTATTTGTTCTTGTTCTCTATTTTGCCTTTTGCTGGCTTGAATGAATCTCCTTGAATCATCACATGTTGAATGAATCTCCTTGAATCAAATAACATATTTCTCTTTCAATGATTATGTTTCCACTTTAAAACTTTTTAAATCTTCATGCCCAGTTCAATCGTATAATCAAAATGGAATAATATTTAATGTCATCAGTCTGATGCCTAACAAAATTAATCAATAAATATAGAGTTATTATAATAAGGGTCTACTACACTAGCTTCATATCTAAACTGACGTATACGATCTTGATATGGCGTAAGCCAATCTGATGCAGTTATTATTGCACACCTTAATCAATGCTCATCATTTGGTGGCATAGGGTGTTGACCTACCAAATAAACATGTAAAATCTAAGAACTTTAATTAATCTAGTTATGTGAAAAGAATAGTACGCAAACATATATATATATATATATATATATATGCATAAACATCTGAATTGTTTTACCTTAATCTAATGGTTGTGATTAACAAATCCAACAAAAATCTCACAACGATAGATTGAAACTAATGGAGCCCTCTCATATGGAAAAAATGTAAGTGACTGATTCACTAACCAAGTTATGAGGATTACATTATAACAAGATGCAATGAGGTGTCGCATATTTGGTATAGTCATCCACCTATCTTGAAGTGGGAAGTCTTCAAAATATTCCAACATATATTGAATATGTTGTACCCGTTAATATTTACTCATATATAACAGACTCTTTCCTCAACTCCTTTAACAAGTCTCTGCGTACATTGTGCCAAGCATTGTCACCAAACCCCATCAATGATCCAATGGCTCTAAAACCACACTTACCATCATCTTAACATCTTGTGCCCCTCTAATATGTATCAACATATGTTCAGGAAACCACTTGTTAAACTCTGGTGTTAAGCAAGAATCATCTACAATGGGTTTAGGCCTATAGACCTGCATATAACAATTACGAAAGCTCAAATTACGATATAAATGATAGTATACAAATTTAATATTGTAACTACTTACAAGTAGCTTCGAAGGCAGCTTCCTTGGCTTCACAGACGACAATGGTTGTGATTGCCTATTTAGAACAATCGATCGCTTTTGGGATATGGTCTTTGGCTTCTTACATGGATGTCTTGTAACAACATTGTTAGTGAGTGTGCACTATCTTGACCAGATAAGGTAACCTCAAAAGCAAAAGGCAAACGTCGAGTAGATGTGTCAACTTTTGGACAACCTTTGATTCATAATCTCTTGTAACTTCATATTAACCTGTCTCTTTGTCTCAGAACTACACCCTTGAAACCACTCCACAACTAATTGAAACTGTGCATTTTCTATCGGATTGTTCGGTGCAGTAGTAGGTGAGGGCTCCAACAAATCTAACTTCCTCCAATGAGGATCAATACAATCAAGTGGTTGATGTGTCCATTTGAACTCTTACATCTTATGTGCACATGGCAATCCGTGTGTGTTTTATTATGCAACCACATGATATCAGATGAACCCCAACATAATCTAACCACTTCAGCTTACACATGCATTACCTAGTCGTTTCTTCAGCTTTGCATGTGCACTCTCGGCCCTGTTTAATGTTGTATTCCCAAAATGCATTCAAGTGTTCATCCATGCAGCCTGTGGGAGCAAATATTCCAGCTTCCAATCACAAGGTGTCACATGGACAAGAAGAATATCACCTAGGTCATTAATTCGACCCATTTATTTGGCCAATTAATTGAGACCAAAAATAGGGATATTATCTTTATTTGGGAATATAATCACCAATTAAAGATAATATCACCAATTTGGGATATTATCTCATGTTACAAACATTATCATCAATTAGGGATCTAATCCTAATCGAAATCCCTAATTGACTCAATCTCTCCATTTAAGGGAAAGAATTTATTCCTTTCAAGTAGGAATTATTCTTTGAAAAACCCTGGATGGCTAGAACCCTATAAATAATAGCCACATTCAACACATGAGGTAGTCCTAAACCAAATTCCAAAATCCTACGAAACCCCTCTCTCTCCCTAGCTATTGGCCACCTCCATTGTCGCCGGCCACTCCCTCTCTCATCTTTCCTACATGACTAAGTACCATCACACACGGCTCCGGCCACCCTGCTATCCCCATGAGAGGAAAATCTGTCCAATTTAGCTATTGCTGTATCTTTTATCAAAGATCTAATTGATCTAACTCAGGCATCGGAGGGCCTTTAGCCAACACCCCCCCGGGTGTGGTTTATTTACTCCTATTTATTTCACATGGATCGAGGAAGAAAGCCCCACGTCTCACAACCCCACAACTGACACCGTAGCTTGGCCTCACGTTTCCCTAGTTGTAAGTGTCGATCCTCCCCCGTACAGCCCCACGGTCGAGACAGAACCTCATCCTCATGACACCACAATCATAAGAGTGGCAACAGCCCACGCCGCAGCATCTCTTCCCAGTCTCGTGGCAGCAAACCACAAGTTGCAACAACACAGCCCCGTGGCTGCCCCAACTTCACAGCACATGGCCTCACGACCGTGCCCGGAATCCACATTGGCCAGCATCCCCCGAGTGTGGTCTTTCTTTATAAGGAATTAACCATCTCTCCTTCTCATAGTTGAGGACAAAATTGTGATCTTCGAAGTTTGTCTGTAAGGCTAGTAGATGTCTTTCATACTCAGCCTCTGTAGTAGATGAAACAAGCATATTCCATGAATCTAAAAATTTGTCTAAACTAGCTTTGTCTTCAAATACAATTTTGCACTTTGCTAAGACTCCCTTATTAATATGTCATGTACATAATAAATGTCAAACACCTGGAAAGACTTCATGGAGCACATTTATGAGACCTAACTCTTTATCTGTGACAATAACTCTAAGAAAAGATTATCATCCATAACACTCCTCAATCTAGCCAATGCCCATCTATAGTTGTCCTCTTTCTCAGCACTAAGATAAACAAATGCAACGGACAATGTAAGATCTGTGGATGTCACCCCTAAAATCTCTAAAAGTGGATAACGAAACCTGTTTGTCTTGTACATGCAATCCATTATCAAAATATGAAGAAATGTGTGCAGTAGCTTAATACTAGTAGGGTGTGCATAAAATAAATCACTTACAATATTAGTAGTACCATAGCTTCTATGTCACTCTACATACTCATGGGCAAACAACTTTCGTAGCAATACATGCATCTCTAACATACATGCTTTTTAGTCACCCTACTTTTTTGTTTGGCATTGTAGATTGTCTTCATTGTGCTCACATTCAACCCATCTCTAATATATCCTTTGGCCTAGCCAAACTCTTAGGCATGTCAACCACTTGTAAATCCTCTTCCACAGTTAATCTCCATGCATATGAATGCCCTTTCATATTTAGTGTTGCGGGATGGTCATGAACTCCACATACAACCTCAAGTTGTCATGCATCTCCAAGACCACTGTCCACACCCTTCAATGAAAAAGGGCAACCACACTTCTTCATGCCAGTAAACTTCACTTTTTTTTTTTCTTTGAAAGGTTTGAACTTTGACCAAGCTTATGTACTATCTTGTTATCTGATTCTAGAACTTTTGTCTTCCTGAATTGGCCACCCCTCTCACAACATAACATAATCCGGCTGGTCTTGAATTTACCAGCTCCTGCAATATCATACCTTTTAATGATAATCACAAAGTCATTCCTTTTCCCTTGTTCACGAGTCCATCTTATTAATGCATCATGAATAACAAATATTTGTAAAATCACTAACAATTAAATTAAGACTTATTTATGTACATACCCCATGTCTTTCAAAGTTGTCTCAAATTACCACATGTGCTTTGAAACGTCTCAAAATACCCCATACACTTTTAAAAACTGTCTCACGTTACCCGTTCCGTCAGTATTAAGAGATGTTCCGTTACGTGGTGTGGGCCCCACTTCTTTTAAATCGCTTAACAATTGAGAGTAAGGGTTATTCAGTTTCAGAAAAGGGGAAATTGGGAGAAGAGGCCAGGGTTATTCAGTTCTTCACTCATCCACTTTGAAATCTACAAAGCATGGTTGTAGCAACAATACCCTCGGAGCCGCTTGATGAAACCTTGGAGCTCGAGCTGCTTCACGTCTCCCCCTTCAACCTGTCATTGATGGAGCACTGGCAGAATGGAATCCCTAGGGTTTCGAATATGCCAAACCCTACTGTGCAGAAGCTCAAATAGGGGTGATGAGGAGGAGGGTAGCACCTCAGTGGAGTAGAATAGTGCACCAAAAATCCTAGACAGATTTTCATAAGGCTGCTGGACAGATTTTTCTTCTCCCAATTTCCCCTTCCCACCAAATTTCCTCTTTTCTAAAATTGAATAACCCTTATTCTCCATTGTTAAGCGATTTAAAAGAAGTGGGGCCCACACCACGTGAGATAGTTTTT